AGCGATTGACGTGTTAATAATTTTGGCAAGCGAACAAATCTTGCGTGTAATTTTCAAAAAACTAAAAAAAACTCTTGCGTTAAATTATCTTGTCAGTGGCAGAACTGCTGCTAGGGCTATGGCTCCGGACCTCTAGTCTCGGGCCGTAGTATTTATAATGGGCTACATATTTTCATTGTAGCTTAATATAAGGCACTTTAAAAAAGGATTTGTAGCAACACCTTTTTTTTGGTCGGCTCTGTATTGAGCCGTCTTACAAATGGTGCCCAAATGAGCCGTCTTTATAAATTTATTTGTAGGAGCTACTAGTGTTATCAGCCGCCCCTACAAATCAGATTTGTAGAGACGGCTCAATATTTACAAATAGACGTCGAATAGTAAAAATTAAATACTAAAATTTGAATTTTTGCAGATTATCTCGGATGGAGAAATGACCAAAATAAAAGTTGTAGATCTCAAAAAGTTATGAAACTTTATTGTTTATAACTTTTTCATTTGAAATCATTTACTATTTTAAAATGTTGTTTGAAATTAAATTTTGAAATTGTTGAAGAATTCTGATTTCTCTTTTTAATCTCGAGCCAAAACTTGTAACTAGTCTTTCTCCCTCGTACTAACTTCAAATTTGATGATTTTTTTCTAAAATTTTGTAAAATCATGCTCTATCAATTTATGATGTTCTTACGACTGTTATTTTGTCCATCTCTTTCATGTGATTGTGTTTTATCTATTTGAATTTTAAATTTAAAAAATAGCAACTTCAAACGTTATTTTGAAACATTAAATAATTTCAGCTGAAAAAGTCATGAACATAAAAGTTGTAGAACTCATCAAGATCTACAACTTTTATTTTGGTCATTTCTTCATCCGACAAAGTGGTAGTAACATTGTTTATAAAATTTATATATCTCTCTTATAGTTTCATAAACTATATGAGGGATATGTCAAATTTATAAAAAATGTTACTACTGCTATGTCGGATGAATAAATGACCAAAATAAAAGTTTTATATCTCAGAAAGTTATAGAAATTTGTAGTTGACAACTTTTTTATTTGAATTCATTTTGTCAAGGAAAACTAAGTTTGAATTTCTCAAATTTGAAATTTGAATTTTTAAAGCAACATCGGATGGAGAAACAACCAAAATTAAAGCTATAGATCCCAAAAAGTTATACAACTTTGATTGTTGATAATTTTTTGATTTAAAATCATCTTGTCAAGGAAAACTAGGTTTGAATTTCCAAAATTTGAAATTTGAATTTTTTAAACTACTTCGGATGGATAAACAACAAAAATAAAAGTTGTAGATCTCGAAAAGTTATGAAACTTTGTACTAGACAACTTTTTGATTTGAAATCATCTTGTCAAGGAAAATTACGTTTGAATTTGTTAATTTTGAAATTCAAATTTTGTAAATGATCTCGGATGGAGAAACTACCAAAATAAAAGTTGTAGATCGCGAAAAGTTATACAACTTTGTAGTTGATAACTTTTTTATTTGAATTTATTTAGGGCCTCAAATAATCAATTTAAATTCGGTTTAGGATAATACGTGGGCAACCAAAATCCAATATAGACACAAATGAGTGTGGGGTGCAGTGGTAGAGGAGCTACACACGAGGGGGAGGTCGTGAGTTCAAATCCTTTGGTCATGATGCGTGCAATTTTTTGCACGAAAAATGCCACGACTCGCGACTTCGAGGGAGTAGGCGGGTGGTTGACCAGTGTGGGGCCCTCTCGGATTAAAAAAAAATGCTATTTTGTTGCTATTTTTTTTAATCTAGAATCATGGCTTCTAAAAATCCAGTCACCCATGCAAATCGTAAACCACCTCTACAAATCGTATTTGTAGAGGCGATTGGCCAACTGCCCCTACGAATCAGTGATTTGTAGCAACACTGTGCTAAGGGCGGCTGGCAAAACAGCCTCTACAAATGGTCTTCAGCCACCCCTACAAAAGCTTAGTGTAGTAGTGTGCAACACTTAAAGGCCCATGCTATGGCCCTAGTTGTTGAGCCAGCCGAGGTGGGAGGGCTACGAGCTTTGATTTACGGGAAAAATAATCTAGAGGCCATTTGGTTCCTGGCCGATTCTAAAAAAAATGGTTCCTGGCCGCTGCAGGCTATGGCGTTGTCGCAGAAGTATGGCGGGGAAAAAGTCTCCACAAGTGTGACATATATCTATACACCAATGAACTATGAGATTGTGTGCCTGCCTCAGTTTATTTGGGAACCAAACGACAGCCAATTTACCTGTAAGGCGTGGCAAAGTTTGCCCAGGAACCAAACACCACCCCCAGTAACACACAATGTCCATGTGAGTAGAATGACGAGCAAATCAAACCTTTTTTCTTCTGTGTTTTGGGACCCTCTTTCTCAACATGAGCCCCTCCTTTGCAAGGTTGTCATCTTGATTTCGCTGGAGGTTTAGGTGGCATGTAGGTCGTACCAGTTGAAAGCAACATTCCCAACCTTGGAGACGACCTAGCAGCAGGTGACTCACCGTCTCCGGGTGTTGGTCACATAAGGCAATTGGCAATAGCAAGGAGACCATGACGCTGCAAATGTTTGGACTGCTAACAACGACTGTAGAGGGCAAACCAAAAGAAGGATTTGCATTTGAGGGGCATGCACACTTTCCATAACTTACCGTTAAAAGAGCTCTTATGTACGTTGTAAGGAAAATGGCTCCTAGCAAGGGACATTAATGATTTTGGTGATTGAGTGACAACATGATCAATAGGACTAATGTTGTTTGCTAGTATACATGGTTTTAGTCCTATGGATCCAAGGATGGACTTGAGCGAGGGAACATGAAGACAAGCGATAAACACCTCAAACAAACATCAAGGAGTTGCAATAAAGACTTTAGAACACAAACAAGAGGCTCAAGACATCAAGAAAGAGACGCCTAGACAAAAAGACGCGAGAAAGTAGCACTCAAAGTGCACCAGATTTCTTTGGTGGGGGCACCGAGTAAAAGGGTGAGGCCCAGGTTCGGGCAAAATGTTAGAAGTGTACAATGGATTCCTCTAATGGAACAACAGAGAACGAAAATAGACAGGGTGCATAGGTGGTTGAGTGGCTGAGAGAGCACCAAAATTCTCCGGTGCATACAATAAGGGAAGCACAAGAACAACAAGTGTTGTCTAGTGAAGAAACAAAGGCCGGTATAGCACCGGATCGAACCACCGAAGAAAATACTTCCAATGGTCGACAAGGGCTAGTCGACATGGCCCTGGGCACCAGAGTACTCTGGTGCCGGGACTTCCAGCGCTCACTGTGAAAGCAACCCGATTTTCCAACGACTAGTTGAGGGCGTTGAGGCTATTTATACCCATCCCACTAGAAATTTAAGTGTGTTCTATGTAGTTGAAGGCATAGTTGAGGTGAGGCTCACTCATTAGTGCTCTAGCCACCAAAGTGCTTAATACAAGATTAGAGAAATTAGGCATTAGTGATAGTTCTTAGGGTAGTTTAGACCACATATATCACTTGCTCTAGGCTTAGACTTAGTGCTCAGTGAGGTTTGTATACCTCCGTGGTATCAGTGATTGTGCACACCATGATTATACAAGAGGGGTTTGACATGTGGAGTGTCCGCATAGCTAGGTTGTACTAAGGGAACGAGACCCGCTGCATTTTGGCCGAAAGCTCGATAGCGAAGACGGGAGAAGTGATCCAGGAGATGGCCTCATGGAGACCCACTTGCACATGGGGAAGTCCTGTGGCAATCCACTAACTTAACCGACCGAGAGCTTGGCCCTTGCGAGGGCATTCTTGAGAGGGACTCCAACGAGGACTAGGGGAAGCACTGGCTTCTTGATACCCCAGGAAAAAGTCGGTGCGGGAGTTTGCATTCTCTAACTCATTTACACTTCCACATTTACTTGCATTCCTTGGTGTGTGCTTTACCTTTCCTAATCTAGCTTGCTAGATTAGTTGATAGGATTGGAACCTAATATGCAAAACTCTTTTATGTTAGAGATAGCAATATTTAGTAAAACCTCAATGCACATTTAGATAATATCTTGCATAGGTTTTGATAATTAAATAGGTTTTTAGTTGGCCATTAGTTTTTAAGCTGACTAATTCACCGTCCTCCTTTTAGCCATCACAGCCACTTCATATACGTGACATGCCACACTAGAGATTGACCATTTCCATGTGAAGGAACTCCAGCAAGGACTATATCCAAGGCCTTACTCTATTTTTAGGGCCGTGGAGAGGAGGTGAGCAAAACCCCACTCCTATAGGGACCCTACTGAGACCCTCAGAAATAGGAGGCCCTCAAATTACCCCCTCAAGCCAAAGCCCAAAGGCCAGCTCTATGGCATAACTTAATTATGAATTCTTACCCAATCGAGTACATATATGGAGACTTAAATGCATCCCACAGATATGGATTCACTCTAAAGCATAGGGACATCAAATATTTTGCAGAGTAACATTTTCTTTCTATTTTCCAATTTGGAGTAGCACATATGCACATTACACTCTTTTGAGCCAGGAGATCTTTGGAAACTAGAAATGGGAATTCTCCAGACGGCTCAAAACCCATAGGTTCAGTATGATTTCCCTAAGTCTGTGGTTGTTTTCTTGTGCGTTTTTAGAAAACTAACAGGTTAATATGTAGTTTCCCTGTGCGTTTGACCATAACAAATTGACATCCACAAGGATGGACAACAAAGGGTTGCTGAGATTTTTATTTGCATTGGGTTGGGGGGTGGGGGGACTTGACGCGACTTGTTTAGTCCACAGCTGATGAACTGTTCCAGTTGGAACCCCAAACTAAATGGTGGAAAATAATTAAAATACTTCAAATTAATTAGCTGCTAGTTAAGTAATGTGTGGTATTTCAAGATTAACAACGACTTGTATACAGTCTTGGAGCCCTAGTAGTATATATGTAGCAAGACAACACATTTGCAGTGGTAAAGGAAAAAGAACTGCAAAATGGAACAAATCCTGTTCCCGGCATCAAATGGATCTCTCCTTCGTTTAACTGTAGACATTGTTGAGGTAGTAGTACAGGCCAGCCAGGGCAACGATCCCGGCGACAATAGCAATAGGCAAGGCTTGCCTGCAAAATATTTTGTTAAGTCAGTTAATTGATTAATTAGCTGTACAAATATTGCTGAATGCATGTGTATTTTAATAGTTAATTGCTTTATGTGTTGGTTCTCTTTTGTGTCTGTGAGTTAGGTATGTTACCCCAAGGATTCCTCTTTCTTCAGCTGCTCCTTCCTTGCCTTCCTAACATCAGTGGAGTTTGCATTCTTAGCGACTGCCGGCTCGTAGGGTCTGAACCTTCTCTTTGGAGCTCCACAAACTGCATCAGTGATGGGGAAACAACAACAGATAAAAAATTGGAGGGAGCATCTTCTTGTTTTGCTGTTCGTAAATAATCGAAAATACTGGTATATATGTATGATATCATTTGAAGTTAGTGTTCTCAGAAGAGTCCACTCACTGTAAGTTTTGCAAGGTGTCTGAAATAGTATGCAGTATCACTATTTGATTCTTCAAATTGTTGTCATGAAAATGCAAGCCAAGTTCTGTGACAAATATACATGCTGGCAACACAGCAGAGTCCCCTTAAGCACTACATTTACACAAGCAGTATATTCCAGTTTAATTACAAGCAGAGGCACTTGTTCTTTACTTTATTACATAGCTGCATAGAAATTTCGTATATAAATAAGTACTATAATGCTTCAAGCTTCCTTAGAAATATCAATTACTCCATTAGTATAGTCGTCACTATTAACCTTTTGCCATGCATTGCAATTGCAAAAGGACATTTTAAAAACTTTTCGAAGCTATCATCCTCCAAAACCGTATACAAAGCTACTGTTTTGCGTATTAAAAAAGCAAAATCACCCAGATAAGAAGAACAGAAGCTGAGGGCAATGGAATATATTCATCCTCACCAGGGCAGAAGTAGTTATCAGCCAGCTTGTCGAACGGCGTCCTGTCGTTGTAGATGTACCTGCAACAACACAAACATGGAGGGGCAAATCAGGTACCAGCACGACGGCAACAGAGCATGCAGATGTAGGCCACTCCACGGCCACGGCATGCGCAGTCGGCGCGCGCGGGCGCAAGAGCCCGGCTTCTGTGGCTCACCCGCAGTCACGGCAGATGTAGGACTGCTTGGACGCGACCCGCATGGTGATCCGAGCGGCCGTGGCCGCCCTGGCCACCCGGCGGCGCGCCGGCGCCGGCAGCCGCAGCGAGCACGGCGCGGAGAACGAGGACCGGAGCGGCGGCGCGGACCGCTGCGCCGGCGCCGGCGCGCGCAGAAGAGACGACGGGGCTTGCAGGGCCATTCTCGCCGCACGCAGGCTGCTGCAACGAGAGCAGCGGCGGAGAATCGAGCGAGCGACGAGTAGCAGAGCAGAGCAGGCGGTGGTGGGCCTGGTGGCGAGGAGGAGATAAGAGGGGTGGAGAGGCGATTGGTGGCAGGGCAGCGCCGTCGCTGGTTTTTCCTCTCCCTCTTTTTGCCTTTTTGGCGCGCGCGTGGCGTGATGTGGAGCCGTGGAGGTGCTGCTGGGCTACTACTGGCACAGCCACTGCGGGGTCCCTTCCCTGGGCAGTGTGGAAGCTGCGTGGCGTCCATGGTGACCCTTCGCTCGCTATCCCTTTTTCTCTGGACGCCGTCGCCACATGGCGCTCTGCATCTGCCTCGTAACTACGTGGACCGGCCTCTCGCCAAGGTGCCAGACTGCCAACCCAGCAGCGCTAGACCACCACCAGTTGCTCCAAAAGTTGACGGGCCCGGGCCTGGCCTAAAAAAAACCGCAGGCGTACAGCTACTTTTTCTCCGGAGCCGTGGTCCATTTGAGACAAGTTAGTTTTTTTTTCCTGCTATCGTCCGGACGTCCGATCCGGAGCGCTAGCATTGGACGGTGCTCCCGGACCTGCGCCTGACACACCCATCCCGCTTCAAAGGCCGTGCGGGCCCAAGCATGCCGGTGACCACCCCGACCCGCTCTGTTTCACATGTCCGCATGCACACAACAAGAGCACCACCACCGGCAGACGCATGATGCGGTGACCCATGGCGGCATGGTGACCTACGGCGGCGCACTAGCAGCAGCATGCGCTTCCCCGATATCTACTTTTGAAACATCCAAATGAAACACTTGCAACATACGTCTAAAACAGATGAAACACTTGAAATATGCGCCTGAAACATTCGTGTATAGCCATAGCATCACTAGTACAAAAAAGATTTTTTATAGGTGGTTAAAATCGATTTTCAGACGCGGTTTGAAAAACCGCTACAATGCCACCGATTGTAAAAATTAGTGATTTTTAGACGCGATTTTAAAACCACCTCTAAAAATTGATTTTCAAGGACGGTTCTCTTAAGACAACCGCCCCTAAAAATGGATTTTCAGAGGCGGTTGATTTAAGTCAACCGCCCGTAAAAATGATTTTTGGGAATAAAAAAAAGCTCGCCGACGCCGGTGAGCACGCCATTGCCGCGTCGCCACGCAGCTACAACCGTCGGCGCTGCACCGCTGATGAGTTGCTACGTCAGGTCGCCGCACTTGGCCAGCACACCGATGCCGAGCCGCCACACGCGTCCATCTCGCCGGCACCGCACTGCCGCGCCCGGCCAGCACACCGATGTCGAGCCGCCACACCCGCCCATCTCGCCAGCTCGCCGTTGCCGCACTGCCGCGCCTGCTCAGCCAGCCAGAACGCTGCAAGTTGAGGCGTTGGGCCACACCATCTCCATGGCTGGCTCACCTTCACTATGGGCCAGGGCCGTAGTTGATGCAAGCCAGCACCGCATGTTGTCACCGCCGCTCTGAGAAGTAGGACGTCCGGCGTCCATCCAAGGCACGAACAAGAAAGGAAGAGAGAACAAGAGAGAGGAAGTTGAAGAGAGTTCGAGAGATGAGAACCAATGAGAATGAGATAAGGTTGATGTTGCTTCGTGAGAACTGAGAAGATAAGGATGCAGCTGGGAAGAGATCGAGGAGCGTGGGTCCCATGCACATGGGTATTGAAAACCAGGTAGTACACGTTCAAACTGCTTGCGCACGAATAGCTTTCTCTCACATGTGGAATTGCAGTGCGGCGACCACAAAAGAGGACCGTCTCTGAACATCTATTTTCAGAGGCGGTTCTCTTAACTTAACCGCCTCTAAAAATAGATATATTTTTAGAGATAGTTTTCTTAATGGAACCGTCTCTGAAAATAGATCTTCAGAGGCGGTCACAGAGCTATAGTGCTCCTCCTCTCAGTTAGAGGCGGCGTGTTGGTTGAACCGTCTCTAATAGAAAAGGGATGCGTCGCTGAAAAGTTTTTCTGTACACTAGATCTACTTTTAAAATATCTAGATGCAACACTTGCAACATATAAAAGAAGACAGCTGAAACACTTGCAAAAAATACCTAAAAAACACTTGAAACCATAGTAAAACATACGCAACATCCAGATAAAACACTTGCAACATATGTGTGAAATATATGCAACATCCAGATAAACACACTACAACGTACGTCTGAAAAACTGATGAAACATTGGAAACAGACGCTTGCAACATACGTGTATAAACCATTGCAACAAATGCAACACCCCGATCTACTTTTGCAACATCCATATGAAACACCTACAACATACTTTGCAACATTTGAAACATACACTTGCAACATGCGCTTTCAGCGCAACATCTCTTTGCTGCTTGGGATAAATGGAGGTTCGTCGGCGTGTGAAGTTTATCGGTCTCGAGCTCGCCGGTGGTGAGGAGCGACCGGCCAGGGGGCGCGATAGCCGTCAAGCGCAGTGGCTGGAGCGGAGCTGCCCTCCGTTTCTTCGAGCCCAATGATGGAGCTTTGCGTTGTCGATGGACCGACCAAGGGGTATGATGGGGCGGCGACCAGAGCGGAGCCACCCTCCGTTTCTTCGAGCCCGGCGATGGAGCTTCGCGTCATCGGTGGACCGGCTAGGGGACATCGCAGCCTTGGCGTGGACCGAGCAGGGGGCAGCTGCGGACCGGCCAGGGGAGCGCGATGGGGGGCGGCTGGCCACGGGGCACCGTGGATTACAGACTCCGGGGGGGGGGCTGGCGAGGTCGACGGCCAGCGGATGAACCCCACGGCGCCGGCGGTATAGTATACTTAATAGTATATAACAAAATACAACATTTTTCGCATCCAACTTTGTATATATATGCACTAAGGTTCCTCAATTTATGCTTGCATTTTGTTGCGGTATGTCCTTTGAATTGTAAAATTATAGTTTGAATCCATTCCAAATGTCGTGTATATCTCGTATATGGACTTTCTCAGAGTTTTTGCGTTACCTCTTTCAATTCTAGCACGTCATGTGTCCAAAATGTTGTGCTGGTCGGTCTAACAAGACTGTTACGAAGCTCGTAAGGTGACCACCGACTTTACGACCAAAAAGCACAAGAAAAAAACATCAACTCTAAACATCAATCCAAGGTTCCTAATAACTTCATATATAGACAAATAATCCCCACTTCACATGAGGTGAAAGCAGTTTTGCTTTGAGGTTGTAGTGTCATCATGACAACTTGGCAATTATTGGCTAAGCAAAGCTGTCTTCCTAGTATTCCCTTTTTCTCACTCTATCCACATATTATAGGTTGTTGGCACTCTCTTGTACCACCATCATGATGATTTTTTCTTCTTCTAAGAGACTGTTTGGCATGACTCCGACTCTCTTGCAATAGCTTCTATGGAGGAGCCGTACTAAATAATTTAGGAAGAGGAATCGTTTTCTAATAAACAGTAAATAAGATGGTGCTGTTTTGAGATTAGGAGCCGCAAAAAGTGGTTCCTCATCAAATGCTCCGGCTCCTCCAAAAGAGCACTTGAGGAAGAGTTCTGCCAAACGGAGTTTAAATATCATGAAGAACAAACGGTTTCCAAAATTGACTGGGGTTCCTATTAATGAGTCAAAGACAGTAGGCTCCAGAGAAAAACAAACGGTTTCCATGACTCATTGGTGGTAAAATTTGTACAACAAAATAATGGAAATTCGTGGAAGCAGATTATCGTTCGCGTTAATCTGTTGGGCCGATTTGTACTTCTTGGTGGGCCCGCTCACCTCCACAACTCCATTGGGCCTGAACCTGACTGCACCGCTCGGCCATTTCCTTAGTGCTACCGACTTCGTCCCTGCCTCCCCGCCGCTGCCGCCTGCCGCGGGCAGGCTTCGGCGTCGTCGTCCCCGGCTCTCCGCCCGCGTTGCCACCAACGGCCGCCGCGTTCGTATGGTACGTCACGCACTCCCCGTATCCCTCTCGATGTTTTGAAGCATCTGGTTCGTTTGCTTTGCTTTCGAGTGTTGCGGTTTGGTTTTTGCCATGATACGGCGCTCGCCATCGTGATCGTGGTCGACGCTGCTGCCGGTGCCGTCCGATGTGCTATGCCGTGCTCTATGCTCCCGGTTCCGGCGCTTGGATTGGGGTTCCTATCTGCGGTCTAATTCGAGGGCAGTGCTCGCCCGTGTTAGTCCAAGAATTTGGGGGCACATGGCACTTGGCAGAGCTTTATTTTTAATTCAGTTCTCCCAAAGTGTACCACTGCAGCATATGTATGAGAAGCCGCATTAAGTCACAAGTTTCCAGCTGTTATCCTTGCAAATTTAGCACTGCAGAGATTAATATGTCCAGCTCAGAACATGAACATGAACAGCTTCAGAGCAGTCTTGTTGAACACAAGCTTTCAGGTCAAAGGGTTCTTCTTCGTCTTCGTCGATCACCCACCTGAACATATGTGCCATCTGCAGATGCAGCAGGAAAAACAAATCGCAAGGCATCACCAGGAGGAAGCAGTTGTTATCACAGCAAGCATCTGGCTGACTTGTTTTTCTAGACTGCAGCAAAATTTATCACAGATGCTGCATGCGCGAATCCCATCTTTGGCAGCTTCCCGAGAACTGAAGATTGGTCGGCGCGCGCCGAGGCGGTTGTGTGACCTAGCTAGCACGATCATGCAAGAAAGATTGGCAGCATATCAAAGGATCCATCATGTGCAGTGCTCATGTGAAGCTTCTTGGAGGAAGGATTCAGGAGCCTAGTTTAGTGGCCACCCTTGGGTAAGGCAAAAGGGGGCTTTGTTTATGGGCATTGCACCATGTGAGGCCTTAGGCTCGTCGAAGGGGGGGATCGCTTGTGCTCATGTGGCCTGTCTCCCGTGGTGATCTTGTAGGGCTTCACAAAGCACAACTTGCCCTGTTCTTAATCGTTTAGTTTTTTTTTTCAGCGCTTTCTTCTCTTCTATGCAATCTTTTTTTGTTAGTTTTAGGACCACCCCTTCTTGGATCTGGTGCCTTCCGATCACC